TATCTATCTATCTATCTATCTATCTATCTATCTATCTATCTATCTATCTATCTATCTATCTATCTATCTATCTATCTATCTATCTATCTATCTATCTATCTATCTATCTATCTATCTATCTATCTATCTATCTATCTATCTATCTATCTATCTATCTATCTATCTATCTATCTATCTATCTATCTATCTATCTATCTATCTATCTATCTATCTATCTATCTATCTATCTATCTATCTATCTATCTATCTATCTATCTATCTATCTATCTATCTATCTATCTATCTATCTATCTATCTATCTATCTATCTATCTATCTATCTATCTATCTATCTATCTATCTATCTATCTATCTATCTATCTATCTATCTATCTATCTATCTATCTATCTATCTATCTATCTATCTATCTATCTATCTATCTATCTATCTATCTATCTATCTATCTATCTATCTATCTATCTATCTATCTATCTATCTATCTATCTATCTATCTATCTATCTATCTATCTATCTATCTATCTATCTATCTATCTATCTATCTATCTATCTATCTATCTATCTATCTATCTATCTATCTATCTATCTATCTATCTATCTATCTATCTATCTATCTATCTATCTATCTATCTATCTATCTATCTATCTATCTATCTATCTATCTATCTATCTATCTATCTATCTATCTATCTATCTATCTATCTATCTATCTATCTATCTATCTATCTATCTATCTATCTATCTATCTATCTATCTATCTATCTATCTATCTATCTATCTATCTATCTATCTATCTATCTATCTATCTATCTATCTATCTATCTATCTATCTATCTATCTATCTATCTATCTATCTATCTATCTATCTATCTATCTATCTATCTATCTATCTATCTATCTATCTATCTATCTATCTATCTATCTATCTATCTATCTATCTATCTATCTATCTATCTATCTATCTATCTATCTATCTATCTATCTATCTATCTATCTATCTATCTATCTATCTATCTATCTATCTATCTATCTATCTATCTATCTATCTATCTATCTATCTATCTATCTATCTATCTATCTATCTATCTGACATATGTGTGGTCAAGGTGCAGTTAGCGCATTCTAATGAATGTTTTATCAAGTATATAGTGCATCTTGATTGCATTTGGTGTGGTGATGGCTGGCTTTCAAAGCAATCCTTTCTTTAATGTATTGGATGGTTGTGCATTTCCAATCGAATGAGCACAACTCATTCTGTTATAATTCATAGCAAACACTTGTTATTTCAAAAAACATTTAAGCATTATTTATAAGATCACAAGAGCTGACTTTCATGGTGTGTGAGAAGGTGCGTCGGTGGTTCAATAGCAGAATACTCGCCAACCACAGCGTTCGATCCTCGGCTGGCGCACTCCTAAACTTCACTAAGCCGATATTAAGGTCGCCGGCAAATAGGTAAGGTTGGGCGTGAGGCTAGCAACCCAAGCCCGGAAAAAAACCCACTGCTACCGAAACTTCAAGGCTCTCCTAAGCCCGGTAAAAGAGGGAATATTGTGTACAGTGCTAGCGACCCTATCCCACAAAATCAATTCAGTGTCTACAGAAACTTCAAAGTAAAGTATAAAAAACAAACTTATTCCTCGATAGAATCGGAGAGACAACATGACACAGGCTAGTGGAATCCTTCGAGAAGTCCGTCAGTCGATGTGTCTCCTGTCGTTGGAAGCAAAAATAAACACGTGGACAGGGAGCGTCCTCGCTATGTCTAAAGCAGAGAAGGGTGCTTAAATTGAAAAAAGAAATTGGAACATGCAGTATAAAAGTCCTAGGAATATTTAAGAATATATGGGATTAGAAGTGGTCCCTGTAAATTGTTAACTGGAGAGTTGATAATCTACTCCTATCATCCAGACGACAACCATAAGCACATCGAGGGAGTGGCTATCATGATGTCACCAGTAGTATTGGAGGCCATTATGTCATGACAGCCAATCTCCTCCAGGATTATGAGAACAAGAGAACTGCAGACAACAGGATGAAGTGGACATGTACTGATGAAGTCCTATGTTCCGCTCGCAACCGAAGCGAATAGTAATAATAATAATAATAATTCTGGATGAAACTACAGAGTTACTCGAAAGAAAGTTGTATACCAAACCAGATATATATTTATGACAAGCCCAAAATGTATACGTAAATTTCCTGATTATTAATATAATGCGGATTCAAAACTGTTCTTTCAACATAATTGTAACTCACTTTGAAGTATTGTTTGCCTTACTCCTTGGGGATCATCTTCTTAACTTGTCGTGTACTTATCACTCACACCTCCAACTATCGAAGCACTACCGAAACAGTTATTAATATATTGGCTTCATCACCTCCTCAGTGATCACCTTCACTTCTCATGTGATCTTGATCGAAGAAATAGATATCATCACATCATAATAACACACAATCATGACATCAATAACAACAACATTACCATCCATGTAAAACAAAGTCTGACTGTTACTTTGCTTCCATTCATACTCGGAAGGAAACCTGGTGAGCTCTAAACAGAAATTAGAACATGGAACATGTAAATCTTTCTGATATGTATCCACATATATATAATTATGTGTGTGTGTATGTTGGTCTCTCTTTCTGTTTGCTCGCTTAGTCTGTGACCATTTCACTTGTGTGAACTTGTCTCCTTTATTAATGTATATTCTCCTTATATTATATTATATATAATATGAGTGTTTGTTGACAGTCCGTTGCTTGGTGACATATATCCATATATGGTTGTTGACATGTCTGCTATCTTTCGCTATGTATATTTGGATCGACACTCCATTATAATTAACCATTCATGTTAAGACTGTCTAATGATTTTTCCCACGCTTTGTCTGGAACATTCATATATATTTCGCATTCACAATCTTGTGACTTTACTTTACAACTACTTTACTTACTTACCACTTTGGTGTGAGACCATCTATTTTCGTCTCCTTATGTTTGGAATAGAAGTATCATCGCAAACCTACTGGTCTTCTGATTTCCGCCTCCTCGCGTCAGGACTATTAGTTTCTCGACCAGACCATAACAATAATTTAGCGACGAGTACATAACACTTTCATGTCTGGACTTGTATTTTTTTCAGTCACTTAGATTTACTTCGATTCATCTACATTCATCTAATCTAGTTGTAAAATGTGGAATGTGCCATTCTCTTCTATTATTCTTATCATCTTTCAACGATTGATGTTCAACCTTCAATTAATTGCTTGATCAATAACTTCATGAATGAATTAATTGACTAACCAGCTGAAAAACCTTTAGACTGTATACCCACCTACATACCTATCTAGCTACCTGATGTTATGCATAGAATGTCTTCAGTGCAGTTAATCGATTGATAGACTAAGAGAGAAAAATGAGTTTACTAATCGAATAAATAGGTTCAATTTGTGGGTTATCTGATTTGAGGCATTTCTGAGTACTACAGTGGCGATTAACATTAATATCTATCCACAAGCCAACCAACCAAATAAAAAGGCCCCAAGAAGACACAGAAAATCTCCATGCCATATACAAAGAACGTCTCAGAATTCACTGCAAGACTCTTCAAACCTTGATGAGGAATTGATGTTCCGCATAAACAAACACAATCACTTCACTCAGCTGGCTCTATGTCTACCAAAGGACTCAACAGCGAAAGAAGATAAAACCAACATCATCTACAAAATAGATTTCAATGATTGTGAAAAACACTGCATTGGTCAAAGTGAACACCCCTTATTCATCTTCGTGCCCGTGAACATAAACTATCCATCAAAAGACATAACATCCACTCTTTCATCCATCGAAATCTATTCGTCTGGGATAAAGTTCAGATGTAAGACAAAGGAAACACCAAGAATGTCAGGGAATGTTTAGAAGCCTGGTATTCTAGTGAATCGTCAATTAATAGACATATTAAGATAGATAAAATTTCACGATTTCATCATGAGCTGACATTAGTTAGAGAACCGTTGGAAAACCTGGGAGAACTGGACAGCTGTTTCGTCCTAGTTTGGGACTCTTCATCAGTACGCACCCACCGGGATTCGAACCCAGGACCTTCCGGTTACGAGGCGAGCTCGTATACCATTAAGCCACTGGGACCCAATCCAATGGTCCTTGAATTCTAACTTCTGCCAATTCACGACATAGCGTGACCGCTAGCCAATGTCTTCGGCGAGTATTTGTCCTCACACCCAACCTGCTGCACCCTACTGGCCACGAATTCCCACTGGAACCCAGGTAACTACCTACCTGAATAGGATCATTGGATCGGGTCCCAGTGGCTTAATGGTATACGAGCTCGCCTTGTAACCGGAAGGTCCTGGGTTCGAATCCCGTTGGGTGCGTACTGCTGAAGTGTCCCAAACCAGGACGAAACGGCTGTCCAGTACTCCCAGGTGGTTTTCCAATGGTTCTCTAACTAATGTCAGCTCATGATGAAATCGTGAAACCAATCAAATCCCCACAAGCCAACACTTGAATAGATAAAATTTAACCATCCAGGAGAGAAAATCTCATACACAATGGGTCAAACTTCAAGCCATGGAGACAATTAGTACCAATACAAGTAGCCTAGACACTGTGAAAACTGAGAAACCCAACCAATCACGATGTTTGAGGCCACCAGGAGAGATGACTTATACACTCGTGGAGAAATTTAAAAGATCACTTCGAATTGAGGTATGCGCTGAAGATTTTGCCTAGACGGTCAATGAGAGCTTTGCAAATTAATCGTCCAGCTCAGAGAACACAACTACACCACAAATCATCCACCTGGGCTACAAATCTTCTCCATTATATCCAACATTATTAGTTTTTACTTCCATTCTGAATGGAAAACACGACGTCAGCTGTGTATCCCAGCTACATTCGATCCTCTAACGTCGTGATTAACCGGCTGCATGACTATCCACAAACCTTCGTTTTCTCTTAACGTGTCAACTGCAACTGATCAACCAATTGTAACATCTTTATTCAAAAATGTACCTCCAAATGAAAGTGTGAACAACTTTACTACAAATGGATAAATAAATAAATACTGGGAACCCATTAGAAATCGCATTCTTGTGTTTTTAAGTCCAGTGAGTGCTTAGCTTGATCTAATTTCCGAGTTAATGTATCAATTTCAACTTCTAAACGTTCACATGCATCCATTAACACAGTAACTTGTTCATCACGTGTTTGTGTATTATCCAACAGAAACATACTTTTCATCTAAAATTTAAGCAAAAAAAAGAGAATAGCAAATAGGTATGAATATAATATTAATAATATTATTAATAATAATAATGATAATAACTGGTATTAAGATAGCTTGATAATACATGATATCGTCTTTTTAAATCTCCTGATGACAAGAAGACTAGACGGTAGTATAAAACCAACGAATTTGCATGGGCAAAGTACTTCGACCAGTCACCATACACACATCTTGACAGCTTCGTTCCTCTCCGGTATAAAAGAAATTTTGATTAACGCCCTCAACTGTGGGGATCAGAGCTATTTCTTCAGAAGATGAACTTAAGGTTACAAATGGTTACCTTGAAAAGTTGATCCCTAAATATACGACCACGAGAGAAGAAAAGAATTCTTCTGTATCTGTTGATAAGAAGCCTCTCTGTCTCTCTCTTTATATATGACTACAATTCGAAGGTGATAGATATACACCAAGTGGTGAAATAATAGCCAACAACAAGTTGGGAAAATCGATTCAAAGGACGTTTAATAATACTGACGGTAAGCTGCAGTCTACATTTTCCACACAAACATCTGTGACGTCAAAACAGAAAGGGAAATACCTGATCTGCCTAACCACCTCTGTTGCATTTATCAATTCAATAGCTCCTGTCAAGCTAGCCAGTTTCTCTAGGAACTTAATAATTCCGTCTTGGGAAAACACCTACCAGTGAGGCTAAATCAAGGTCTTTATAAAACCATTAACCATTCATCCAAACAGGCCATAAATCTGGCTAACATTGTAGAGTCTTTCTCTATCATCATCTATCGGGTATCGAATAAATTACCAAAGGTCTGTGGATACCGAATCAACCAAGGGACGTGTGTACTGCTCAGCAGTTCGCTCCGTCCTTCTCTTTGGCTCTGAAACATGGCCAATACGAGTTGAAGACATGAAAAGGTTGACTGCTTTCGATCATAGATGTCTGCGATCTCTGTCTCACATTAGGTGGTTTAATGAGGTAAGTAATGTGGACGTTAGGCGTAGAGTGTTGGGCAAAGAGGGAAAATCAATCGACGAGACTATAAAGTTACATAGACTAAGATGGCTAGGTCACGTGCTGCGCATGCCTAACCACAACCTCCCCCGACGGGCATTGCTAGGTGATATAGAGGTGGAGGTTGGAAAAGAGACAGTGGTGGCCAAACAAAAACATGTCATCAATCCATGAAATCCTTGACAGTTAAACTGAGTCGGTCAGGCAGGGAGATGCAGACTTCCGGGTTGGGGCCCTCGGGACTCTAGGAATCAATGGCTGGAGACAATAGGTGACATGGCTCAAAATCGTTGTCAATGGCCAGCGCAGATGTATTCAGTCTCTGTAATCTTTCATATTCCTTTCTACCATTACCCATTCTGTTTCACTCTTATACTTGTCAGACTGTATTGATTCTCTTCACTCATCTTCTTGTCTACCTCTGTGTGCTATTTGGAACGTGGCAACTGGAACTGGTGCACTTCGGTGCCAAGTTCTATGTTGAATCCAGACAGACAGGATACCAAATCCTCCAAAGTACAGTGGCCATTGCAATTCGCTTAAATCATCCAGGTTATGTGTGCCAAGGAAACAGGTCCGGCCAGCCATTACTGCTACGCTGTCCTCCTGTCCAATCTATAATTTAATTCATAACTTCCGTGCTACTTTTCTTAATTTATCTGATATTCAATCAGTTTAGTGTTACACTGCTGCATTTTATCACTCACTCTCTCTCTCACTCTCTGAATGATGCTTTTGAAATGTAATCTGCTGACACCAACTATTGATTCAATTTAATTTAAGACAGCATTAATGTTTGATTAGTTGGGGATTTCATAATGAGTTGACTTCAGTTAGATAACCATTGGAAAACCTGCAGGGAGTACTGCCAGACAGCTGTTTCGTCCGACTAGTTTGTGACTCTTCAACAGTACACACCCACCACCACGGTTCGAACTCACAAGCTTCTGATTACAAGGTGAGCTAGCTCTTATATCATTCATTAGCCATTGAGATCCGATCTAATGACCAGCCCATTAATTGTAACATCTACCAATTCGCCCGTATTGCCGATGATTTCCCAACTAGGACAGAGGAAACAGCTGTCCGCGACCCAGCCCCCCACCCAGCTTGTTTCCAATGATTCTACAACTGATATCATTCCGTGATCAACTCGTAAAAACCAAACTAATCCTCACAAACCAACTACAGAGAATATATAATCATTAAGAACATAACCCTATATCATTGACTGTTAAACTCATCAATATTACATATATATATGTGTAAAAACCAAAAACCACGTTTAATAGTCATTTATGACTACTGTTCTTATTGTCAAGGTAATAATGCTCTCTACAATGGCAATAATACACAATACCTGTTAAAAGTGTACTTTCATTAAAATATGTAAAATAAATGAACAAAAAAAGTTTTCTGGGTTACATTCTTTGTTCTGTTTTTTTTTAAATTTAATTTAACCTCTCTGTTTTTTTCTTGGTTGGTTATTAGTTATGTACGTGTTCAATAGTCAATACTGCCTCCTATTATTATTATTATTATTATTATTAGTGATGATCTTTTTATAGAATAATTATAATTATAACTATAATGAATATATCTGAATGAATATTAAAATTAAAAATTTGCACTTTTTATTGTTTTAAAGCGTAACACATAATTTAATTTTAATTCAATTTTGATTCAACTATTGATTGATTGGATTTAAATGTCCCGCCGGTGTTGATATATCAACTCTTACTTAGTATGGACGCTTCGATGATGTCTAAGGATTACTATGAAATCATTTTTCGTAGATGATAACTAGATCTGATGTCCAATGAGGATGTGCATTTCGTCCTATATGGGACTCTTCAGCTAGTAGATGTACCCGTATCGTTTACAGCTTCACTAGACTACTTGAGTTAAGACAATCATCTATTCTGCAGTGTACAACATTTAATAACTGATGCTATTGGTTAAAGTGGTTTAGTTGATATCTCTGTGGTGTTTGAAATGATAGGTATCAGGTTCGAGCGTCAATACATTCAGATGATGAATCCCAAATAGAACGGAATGCACCTTCTGGGTGAATTCCACTGCCAGTTATCAGCCTATAAATTTATTTAAGGTTGAGTTTAAGCTTGAAAAAATTTTACACATACATTCATTAGTAAATGATCTTTTGTGGATCATTTCAACACAAACCTGAGTGATCGTGTTAATGTAAATCACCTGATGAATGTTCAAGGCTTCTAAACCAACTGACTGTTAACAATTCTTGTGCGTAAGTGTTATAACATAGTGACAATACCGCGTTGTCAATTCGTCTAACTTGACCTAAATGCACCTCCAGAACACGACACTATAACTAACTGTTCACTTAAAAATATCTTCTAGACTATGATAGGCACAAGATTTAATTATTTATTTTTCCTTCACGTTCCCCAGTGGAACATAGGGCTTCAAGCTGGTGGCTTGAAGTTTCTGTGGCAGTGTTTAATTTTACAGGATGGGGTTGCTGGCCTCATGTCCAACCTTTCCTCTTTACCAGGGTTATTTCTGGCTCAGTGGGGTAAAGGAATGCGTTGGCCGGGGATCGATCCCTGGACCATGTGCATGGTCGGCGAACGTCTTAACCGCTACACCACCGACGCACCTAGACACAAGATTTAGCCTGAGAAAAACGACAAAATACATGGTAGAAACAATCGCTTTCAAATGTAAACCTAACATTGTTAGTACATAAACCCAATAATCCTCTACATCCTATATTGTCAATATGCAAATCCCCAACGCATAAACTTGCTAAATGGTTAGTAGAATTATTGCATCCACTCAAAACACAATTCTAAAAGTATGTGTTAAAAAAGATACATTTGAATTGGTTAATTTTCTTGACGATATTAATATTATGAATAAGAATATGTACTCTTTTGATGTAAAAACTCTTTATTCACTACTAATGAGCCTTTGATCAAAACAGTTGGCATTTTGTGTGATTACATTTCAACAAAAACAGTTTTTTCATCCCGTTCCCTATATCTTATTTAAGGGATTGTTTCCGCCAAGTTGATAGTGTTGCTATGGGAAGTCCGTTAACGCGCCTTTTAGAAGATATCTATATGTCGTACATTGATAGTTTATCGGAAGGCTTAATCGAAAATGTGCCACTTTATAGAAGGTATGTAGATGATATTGTAATCATCAGTGATAAGCGCCTTGTTCTGCCACTTGAATTTTAAATCGAATGAATGAAGTTCAGAATAGCATATCACTTACATCTGTCTGTAGAAGAGGAAGATAATTGTTTATCCATCCTAGATATATTACTTAGTCGACGGCTTGATGGGTCAATAAGATCTATTTATAGAAAACCTACTTGGACAGGACAGTATCTTAAAATACATGGTATCTTATGTTTATAATAACCCTCAGAAAATTAAGCCATAAATAAACGAATCAGAAACTGTCCAATCAGGTGTTATCATGTCACGACATGCATATAAATCATGACTTCATGGATAACAAAGAAGCTTATTCGTCCTGACAGTAGTTAAACGTACATTTAACCGGATCTGTAAACTACTGTCGTCCTATGTAGTAAACAGTCAGTTTTAATAGGTGAATAGACATGAATGGGTGAAGTTCAGTACTAAATTATCAGCAAACATAAAGGAGGTCTTTTTCCAGTTATATACAATGAACCAATAAAAGATCTGTTTTTCAACAAATATATCGAAGAAAATGTAGGTGCATTGGACACACGCTGAGGAGACCGTTGGGTGATCTTGCTCACCAGGCTGGCACTTGAGTAGGAAACTACTAGTCGGGCGTAAGACCGAACATGGGGTGACGGTGTGGGGAGGAGGTGAGAACTTATAAGCAATCGTGAGAACAGATGGAGAAGCGCTAAAGTGAACACGAGAAAGTGGAGCTGTGCTGCTGAAGCCTTATGTTCCACCAGGAACTTAAGGGAATAATAATATTAATATGTAACAAATGGACCTCAAATTCATATTCAGCATGTCATTTGAAAACAAAATTACCTTCTTGTTCAGCTATAGTGAATGAAATCGCAGAATGAAATGCACAGAATATTCATTACCGTATCTACACTTATTACCAGAAGCCTTGGTTTAGTCATATCAGATAGAAAATGCATCTGACTGCGATGAGCCTCAGTTGAAATGTCACTCAGAGTTGCCGGAAGTAGTTCGGATGTTTTTTGTTCCTTTATGTTCCCAGTGGAACATAGGGCTTGAAACTAGAGCTTTCAAGTTTCAGTAGCAGTGGTGCTTATTTTGATGGGATGGGGTTACTAGCTTCATGCCCAACCATTCCCTCTTAATCAGTCTTATTCTCGGCTAAGAGAGGTAAATGAGTGCGCTGGTCAGTAATCGAACCCTGAACCAGCTGCATGGTTGACGAGGTGTTATATTTAACTCATAACGGAAGAACCCTTAGATGTCTAGACTATTTTGTTATGGCAGACAGTTCACTTACGTTTTCTACACATAGCTGAAACTGTTGCAACAGAATTGAGTAAACCGGCACATTGTATGCAAAAAGAACACGTCCAGACGCTGTTCCTACCGTGGCCAAACTTGGATTAATGATTCTTTTTCTTACCAAGAATGCTCCTTCCCCTTAACCCTCTTGGTTGTTTTTCTTTGCTTATTATTACAATTATTATTATTATTATTCGTCATAATTTATATCCTTCATTCAAACATTCTCTCAATACTATCGAATTTTCTATATATACTATCCGGATTCATAGTTAATGACATTATCTCTTTTCTCAACATTTGATGCCTCCACCGGTTTCATTTCACACAGGCGTTATTTCATGATGAACCTCTCATTGCAAATTTACAGTCTCCTATTTAATACGTACCACTTTGTACTAGCCACTCACCTGACACCGCTTATAACCTTGAACTGACTTTTATTATAACAAAGGTTTTTTTTGTATTTCCCAATGAATGAAAAACAATATCGTTTTGTTTTCATTCATTTGGGAAATACAAAAACCTTCATTATAATGAATATCATAAACCTAATGGCCAAATTTTTATATCAAACTGTTAAAAGTGAACTTGGTTTGGACATATATAACTTGAACTGACTTGTCAGTTTTCCTACCCACACTCTAAAAATCTATTACGATTACTCACCACCATTATCTCCCATTTTACAATATTTTTAATCGATTTCAGTCTAGTACGTTTGTCACGCAAATACTACCATTTATTTTGACATCCCATAACTAATGTGATGTGTCTAGTCCTTTCTTTGGGGTAGACTGAATTCTATCTATCAGTCAGGTTTGCAATGTGCCCACCATACCAGATGGCTCACTATCACGGTACACTCAGGATTGTTGTTATTGTGAATGGATAGCTAGCTCAGTGGTAACGCTTCTGATTTCAGGCGGCACTGGGTGACACAGGTTCGAATCTCAGAAGGGACATGAATTCCTTGAAGGTTGCAGATACGCCTTGCTAGATGGTGAGTGACAACTAGCACAAAACCTAGGTCAGATTGGGCTTCCTTTCGCAGACTACCTCCAACCATCTAATATCACTCCATAACTAATCTGTTATTCTACGTTAAAAAATGCATCCGCCGCATAACTGGTCGTTATTGTAATGACAATAAATATTATATTTTACAATTGTAAGAACCTGAAGAGGAGAAATTATTGAAATGAATATTCTTAATTCACATTGACTTTCACTTGATGATATGGGAATATTTCACACTACTAAATACAAAATTGCGTCGGTGGCATAGTGGTTAGGATGCTCGCCGACCGACCGTCCGGGATTCCGTCCCCAGCCGACGCACTCCTTCAACTCGCTGAGTCAGAAATAATTCTGATAAAGAGAAAAGGTTGGGCATGAGGCTAGCAACCTCATCCTGTAAAATTAAACACTGCCACAGAAACTTCAAGCCACTAGCTTGAAGTCCTATGTTCCACTGGGGAACGTGAAGGAAAAAAAATACAAAAATTGACTTCAGTACTTCATTCTAATAAACACTATTTTCTGACAGAATATTTATCTTATTTCTCTGGCAAAGTTCAACAATAACGTCCCAAGGGATGAGAACGCACGAGTGATCTTCAGCCGACCAATCATATAAATAAGTGACTTTTGCACAAAAATGACTTATTTTTACAAGAAGATTTATTTTTTATTTTTATTTTTGGTTACAGCTTGATTCCACACCGTTTTTTTGGTACAAGTATGGAATTTTCAGCGTGGATATCGGCAGCCCAAATTTCGCAGGCCAACCACAGATATCAGGTGTGCGTCGGCAGGGGATCGAACCTCGAACCATGTGCATGGTCAGCGAGAGTCCTAACCACTGTGCCACCGACGCACATGAAAACGCATTATAAACAGGTTATCTTTCTCTGACATTACTTAAAAATACTTCCCAGTTTTAATGAGGAGTATCAATCGCTAAGTTAGACTAGTTTCTGTATGTGTATTCATGGAGGTGACCAAAGATGAGCTGTTTTTGTGAATTGTTTGTCTTTCTTATCCTGCTGTCCAGTCCTTCCTCGGTTGAGTTACTATGGTTTCCAGTAAAAGAATCGACAACTACTTACTAGTAAAATGTGGATAACAAAACAAATCAAAATAAATGGCATGAACTATAATTCTATCCTTATTCGCAACCCTAACCTAAATTCTGACCCCGACACTTGCTCTAACCCTAATCATAACCCTTATCCAAACCATAATACTAAACCTGATCCTAACCCTAACGAGCAATTATCACTTTGTCCAAAAAGTACCTAAAAACGTGATCTGAGCATAATTTGCTGCTTAGTTAGTGAATAGCACTGATATTTCAGCTGTGATAATGACAGGTGCGGTCAGTCAACGACTAGCATGCGTTCAAGGTCATCGGAGCGTTCGCCCTCCTGGGACGCTATTGTTGCACTTCGCCATTTCTACTGACATCGGATTATTTGAAGTGATAAATCCATACTGATGTGGAGTGCTGCTCTTTTCGTTGCAGAGATAAAACGGCGGAATTTAACTTCAGTGGAGGAAACATCCTTTTTTAAGTGCATCTCGTTATGAATTATCACCAGTTAGAGAATACTTGGAAACTGGGGTCTACTGAACAGCTCTTTCATCCTAATTTGTGAGACTCTTCGCCAGTACACAGCTACAATCTAACCAGGGATGGAATGCAGAACCTACAGGTTATCAGCCTAACATGTTTATTGTTCAGTTGATGTGAGATAATCGGTGTTTCCGAATACAAGTAATGTACTAAATCATTTTAAATGTCGTAGTTTTCTTTTGAAGCTAATACGTAAAAGAAACAGTACGGAGGTAGAAAATGGCAAAAAATACGTCTGATTTGTCCACATATTACTATTATTGTTAGTCCGTTGGATCTTGAGTGGAACAAGACACTTCAACAGCATATTTCTATTTTACTAGATTTCATGGCATCCCTATTGGTTGTTTGCTAAGAAGCTTTCTCTTCCTCCTTCTTACACAGTCTTCGCCATGATACCCTCGAATTGAGGTCTATGGTGTTAGAGTTGGGATAAAATGGCTATCTTCTACAATCACTGGGCTATCTACTTTTCTTATCCATCAAAATACATCGTTTCTACTCATTTTCATATTGTTATAATCATCTTTTAATCCTCAATGAGACACAATTCATACTTGCGCACAACTTCAAATACGTCTCTACCTACGGGTAAGAATTTTTCCAAGGAAATAGACGGAGAACAACGTGAAGTAGTACTGGAGCAAGAAATACTGCTTCGAATGATATTACATCATTATTATTATTATTCCTTTGAGTCTTGAGTGGAATATAGGGCTTCAATAATACATCACCACTTTATTCTGTTTTTTACCGTCCTCCTCACCTCAGTCCACAATTGACCATAATCTTTCATCTTCTCCTCGCCACAAGATCTCCTCTATGTCACTGTCTCACCGACGACCCACTCTTTGCTTGCCATTGAGATTCCACTCCATCAGTGGCCTGCATTGCACGCAATGTCATTTGACGTTCTGTTCATCATGTGTCGGATGAATCCCTCTCCATTTTCTCCCAAGTATTTGTTCAGCGATCGGCTCTCGCCTGTTGGTTTGTACCCAGCCACAGTTCCTTATTGCTAATTCTCTCTAGCCAGCCGGCGGGCCAGCCATTTGATCTTAAGTATGGAGCTAGCGAAGGGCGCAGCTGTTGATAAAAGTTTGCAGCAGGCTGTTGGAAATCCTTTTCGAGATATACACCCAGTACAAGTTTCTGACCGGTGCAGAAGAACTGACTAACTGATATCACATGTGTGTTGAATAGAATTCGAATCTTGTGATGGCATCAGACTTCCAGACTGATTTGACGTTGATGAAGATGTATTTTGCCTCTCCGATTCTGGCTGGCTGACTGATTTTGACATCTTCATCTGTGCCGTGTACCTGTAGTGAAAACCGTGTTTCCTGGTTGGACAAGTGAATGAAGTAATCTCTGTTAAATCTCTCCTGCTGATGGTGACTGGTACTGGTTGTTGTTGCTGTTGGTTGGTTGTCCTCATCACTTCCATCTTCTCTCTGTTCATCTCGAGTCCTGTCTTCGCTGTGTACCTGCTTCTTCAGCCAGTGTGTTGGTTTTCGCCTGCCCATGAGTCTTCGAGTTTGTGTGAGTGACATGAAACATAAATCATCCACGTGTGGAATGCAGATCTCCTAGAGTCTTCTTCATCGGTCAGTTCAACGTATTCCTGTCTTCCCATACCCAGCTCACAGTCTGACGCATGATCCATGCTGTCCACCACAATTAAGAATATCATCGTGGGTGATAACAGGCAGGCAGGCAGGTTGTCTTTTCAGATAAGTTTATTTTAATTATCACAGCTGTTGAATAAGTCTGATAAAGACTTAGGCACTGCACGCCGTAGTGTTAAAGCAGTTTCCAAATTACTTCTCGGTCGATGCTGTCTGTCAAAGGCCTTTTCAGATGATATGTGACCAATCAATATATTATTTGAAGATTCTGCACTAGGGATACATACCATGCACTGAAACTCGCGGAAAATTATACATTGTGTCTAAACACACTTTTCAGACTATTCTATCAATTCATCAATCCATTTTTTAGAGAAAATCAAAACCATTCAAGCAGAAGACAATGAAATAATGCTGTACTTTGATGTTACAGCATTATATACTTCACTTAGTTCAAAACTAGCAACAGAAACTATGCAACAGTTACTCGATAGTTATGAAAACACATAAAAACGCAGTGATGTTCAACTTGGATAGAACTCATAGAATTATGTCTTAAAACATACTTCCAATTCAGTACTGAAATATGCAAACAAATAAAAGGAACAACAATGAGATCATCGCCCATATCAGGATTGATACCTTAAGTCGTTATGCAAAGATTAGAATTAATAGCTCTACCTATAATTCAACCGAAAATCTGGACAGGTACGTTACTTTGATGATACATTTGTAATAGTTAAAAGAAATGATTTAGAATATACCCATCAGTTAATAAACAATATATCTGAAGACATCAAATCCACAAGAGAAGAAGAATTAGATAACAAAATCCTATTTTTAGATGTCTTAATCAGCAGAACCAACACAGGAAATTT